CGCCCCGCCCGCCCCGCCTCCTGGACACGCCGCGGTATGGTGCCGCAGCTGCGGGTGCTGCTTTCTTCCAGCGCGGCCCGATATGCGCAGGTGGTGGCAAAGCTCGTGAAAATAATTTATCTTGACCCGGCAGTGATGATGGGGAGAGGTTTACAACCAGAGGACAAAATGGTATACCGGTATAAATCGTGTCTCTTAAAACGCAAAACAAAATCAAAATCAAAAAAGTAATACTGAATTTAAAAAACCGTGCTTACTGAGAAAATTAGTACTTTCGAAGTCCCTTACAGTCTCACTTAGTTGTGCTTATGGAATGGTTCCGAATTTCGAATCGTTCCTTTATGAGTGTATGTAAACATAAACAACCAGCAACACTGAGGTTTCTTCTCTTTCCGGCCCCTCGCAGTAGGCAACCCGTCCGTGCGCGCCTGTATGGGGTACTATGTATGTAACTACTATGAAGAAGAAAGGAGTGCGGGGTAAGGCCACTCTGCATTGAGAGTGGGGTGAAGCTGCCCCGCTCTGGAGCAACACACGAGCTTTATCTTATCCCTGGCCGTGCTGACCTGGTCGCCGCCCGGTCCACTTAGCACCAGCAGTCTCTCTCGGCCCAGCTGCAGAGGGAGTCAGTGACGCCGTCGTGAGACAACGTCGGCGACGACATTCACCGGAAGGACGAGGGCGGGGCGACGCGCGGCCCTGGTCGTCGCTCCGGCCCGCACGACGGCAGGTCAAGACAAAGCGGGCTGCGGTCACTTTGAGTCGACCGCTAAGTAAATTCGTTCGGACCGAGCCGCGCTCCCCGCTGAGCGCGAGTCGATGCACCACCGACCGGGTCGATCGGGTCCACGCCGACCTGCCCGACTTCCCCCCGGGTCCCCGTCGTGGGGACCACGCAGCGGCGGTGACCGGCCGGGAGCAGCGCGTCGGGAGGCACGCGACACCAGCCAAGGCCAGGGCGGACCAGGCCCCCGGCCCGGCCCCGGCCCACCGAAGCGCGGCGCGGCTGAGCAGCGGGTCCATTTAAACGTCCCGTCTCCGGCGAGCCCCGCGCCGGGCCGCCTTATTGCATAAGGCCCGAAACCATCATCGAATCACCGACGCGCCGCCACGCATCCACACCAAATCAAAACGCACCCAGCACAGGATTTTAAAAAAAAATGAAAAAAAAAATGACATAAATGAAAAATTTGAAAAAAGCTTCACAGATACTGAATAGTTAACACAAAATTGCATGTCTTTTTATGAAATAATTATTATTGTCATCTCACCATTTTTCATTTTAAAAAATCCGAAGAATTGCGTTTTAATTTTTTTTTAAACTGACATTTCCAATTGAGAGGTTTTTTTTCCTGTGACATTGTAACTTTCGTCATACATAACAGTTGTGTTACTCACATTGGATTAACACTGGCAGAATGCCTTTCCTTCAACAGCACAAAAAAGGCACCAAAAAAGAAAAAGAGGAGCGAGAGGTCGCTTGCAAAAACGAAATACAGTAGTAGGAAAAAAAATATCCTGAGTTTTCTAGTCGGCGAGGCGAGTCGCCCCTGAAAGTATTGGTTTGCTCTGTCCATCGGCACGGTGCAGGGCACCACGACAAATTGTGGCGAAGGCTGGAGGCTCCAGCTGCTGACCGGCCGGCCAGTTGGAGGCGAGAGCTGCGGAGGGAAGCTGCGGAAAACACCCACGACAAACGGCCGAGAGGGCCACCTCAGGGCTGAGAGCGTCTCTCATCAAAAGAACCACCGTCCCACTCGACTAGACGAGTGACTTTATTGATTGACAGCAGCTGAGATAATCACTCAGCCAAAAGCACCTCGACTTGCATCGCCCGCGACGGGCCTACCTGTTGCCTTGTTGCCGTCCAGCTAGTGTGTGTGTGCTTTGCCCGCAGCCGTCACGTGACTGTGATTGGTATTGTTCAACAACTGCACTGCCTCAAGAAACCTCGAAGCGGACGCGATGATTGAATTTGATAGCGCTGGAGACGAGAAGACCTAAAACCTTGCCGGAGGTTTCTTTGTGTCGTGCCCATTCGTTTTCCGCATTATAGGGCTTGGGTATAAATATCATGGCATTCTCAGAAAGTTCTGGGTACCGATAGGAAGTGAAAAGGGCCTCATGATGTATGTACCTAAATATCACGAGGTCCCTATCAGTTCCCATTGCAGTTCCTCTCGAACCCTCTGAAGGGGTGGCCTATGATATTCGCACCCCACTTTTACAGACACAGCGCATGTAGGATCATCCAGAAAGTACTCCGTTATTCGCCGGTACGCAACTGCGAAGTTTAGCCGAAGCAAGCTCTCAAGGCGCCAGATAGGTAGGCCACATCTTGCCTGCAGTGCATGCGTGTATTGCGGGTTGGCCTACCCCGAGTCCCGCAGGCGCCGAAGGTTCCGTAACTTTGCCGAATGAATCTGAGGAGAAAAACGGGCGTAGTTTCTGAATAATCCATAGGTGCACGCCCCCTGGGAGTCTGGGGTGCCCTCTTCCATGGCGCCCGCACACGCGTCCAAGTCTCCGAGGACCTCGACGAGCTCGTGAGGCGGCCCGGGCCCGGCCGCAAATAAAAGATAAAGCCATTCGTCTCGGCACACAGCGCAGGATCCCGCGGCTCTGGGAAAGGTGGCAGATTAACCCCAGAGACAACGTGACGTACGACAACCCTGCAAATCTAAACTGTATGATAACAACGTCAGTTTAAAACTCCAAAACTAGAGCAGGAAAACTAAAAATTTAGTGTAAACGGGTAACTGAAATTAGTTTTGAAGTTAAAATTGTTAAAGTACCATTCAGTAAGACATTTGTGGCGATGTGCGCAACCCACATGTGCCAAGAGGAGATCGCCTTGGCGAGGGGGGAATCACTAGTAGTGAAATAGTTCGTACACCTTCCCCCGCCTTCCCCCGAAATAATGCGAAATAGTTCGAATAAGAGGAAAATAGACCCGAAATAAGGCGACATATAGACCCGAAATAGAGCGAAATAGACGCAAAATAGTTCGTGAAATACTGCGAAATACCTCGAATACCCCCAAAATAATGCGAAATAATCGTGAAATAACCGGAATGGCAGAAGAAATGCCACGAAAAATCCCGTACGCTACGAACCAAAGTGATTTTCCCCTCGTGCCTATGGAGCCTGTTATCAGTCGCGAATATAAGGATAAAGCCCCGCCCCAGGCCCGGAGACGAGTCATCGACTTATACTGAATTCGGTAATCGGTGGCGGCTGATTCGATTACTCGAACCGAGTTTGACATGAGGAGATTAGGTCAGAAGGCCGCAATAATAGATAGAGATAGGGGAATGGTCATGAACCGGCAACTGTCTTCAAGTTGAAATGATTTTAAAAAAAGACAGAGGGAAAAGATTATGCTCGAAACCTTAGAGTGACTTACACTGGAAAAAAACGAATGTGATGTGTGTCACGTCAAACTGATGTGACCAGTTGAGGTCACAAGAATTGATGCAACATCATAGCTGAAAGGTATAGGCAAGGCATGACACACAAGAGGTCACGTGACCAAAAATATGGTGACACCACACATGCGACATACCAAGGTTGTCACACACTTGTCTGTCGTGACACATGTCTCAGTAGTTTTTCCAGTGTAGGCTGGGCATGCAGTTTTCCCAGGGTGTTCCGTGGTACTTACGGGCAGAAGGACGAAGGCGCGCTGCTGTAGAGGTCCAACTATTCCTCCATGCTGCACAGGTCGTACTGCACAGGTGCGGCGCAGGGCGGCTCGCCCAAAGTCTTTAGCTGCCCCGCGACGGCCCCGGAGTGCCTCGGCGAGGAGGGAGGAGGTGCCCCTGGTCCCGGGGACCCTGCCGCAGGGTGCAGGACCGCGGGGGATGTTGCGCAGGTTCTGCCGCTGGCGTGGTGTGGCGGGGCGTGGTGGGGCGTGGCGGGGCGGGGTGTTCGGTGGCGCGCGGAACGCCGGGTGGTGTGCCGCGGTTTGGCTCTACTCGACTGGCGCGCGGGATCGCTTCTGACTGCCGCCGCGCTGCCGCGAGCGCGGCCCGCGGCGTGCCGTGGCCTGCCGTGGCGTGGCGGGCGCGGCAGGTGGCAGCAGGGCAGGGCGACGACGGAGCGGCATAAGATGGGATGACAGCAAAGCCCCCTCCCCCCCTCTCCCCTTCCCCCACCCCTCCCCCCACCCTGCCTCGCGGCCGCGGGTGCGGGTGTGGGTACTCGGACCGTGACAGCGAACACCCGAACACAAAACGGATACCGAACGAATGGCGCGACAAAGTAGAGTAGTCGTTATCGAAGTGCATTCCTGGTTCAGACAGCGGTGCGCCAGTGCGTCCGGCGCAGGCAGCGCAGCCGCGCACCTACCTGGGGCGCGCTTGCTCCCGAGCTTGCTCCCGAGCGTGCTCCCGAGCCTGCTCCCGAGCCCGCTCCCGAGCTTGCTCCCCTCCCCACCCGGCCACGTTGTTTCGGCGATAAGCGGCCAAAACAACCCCCGCCGTCCTTCCGCGCACAACGCGAAAATGTGCTCCGTTTCTCCTCCTGCGCCTTCCACGTGTGTCTACATGCCTCGACTTTCAACGGACGTCACATACGGAAATATATCTGCACACCCCCAAAAATCTGTTTTTTGTTATTATAGTGCATTTGTTTTTGTTAACTTGACTATCTTGGGCTACCTTGAGTACATTGCGCTCTACAGAGCTCTTTTTGACGAAATGAGTGGATTTGCGCTGCCTTGTGTGCGAATGTGTGTTCAAAATTTCGAGAACGTGCGGCAATAGGGGGGGGGGGTATCGGTCCGCCCCACCCATAGTAAGTGGTAATCTCAGACATCTGGGTATCATTCAATTTTTGATGAAACTTCCCTGCCTGACCAGTGACCAATCCGATGCTTCTTATCCGGGACAGTTGCGCCGCCAAACGAGCGTGTCGTAAAAAAAAATAATTTTGAAAAGACATCGGAAATTTCTTCCGGCCAATAAAAGATGCAAGCTTTCCTGCCGACGCTGCCACCGAGACTCAATCAGGCCGCCCGGGTTAGAGACAGTAGGGCCTCCGCGGCCTGGTCGTAAAAAATGTCGCACGTCTGGACTTAACTGGCGAGTACAGTACATCGCCGGGCCCCTTCGGACGGACCTCTGCGTCCACGGGTCCGAGGGCGGGGAGGACTCGGCTCCAGGCCAACGCGCTGGAACGACAAAATTATTTCGTTTTATTTTTCGTTCTGTCCTTTATAATGCAAAACCGCCCAGTAATGTTCATTCTACTCATCGTATTTGAGGCGGGGTATTGCTTTTACCAGAGCGTTTAGTATACTAAACGGCTGATGCTAATTCAACGTGAAACAACGCTACATTGCAAAAGCAAAGGTGCAATAATACACCTTTTAAACTGCTACTGCATTAACTCCTTTGTAAAGGCATTACAATTACCAAAAATAGTACCTTTTGGTGCTGGGATTACTCGACAGTTTTTATTTTGTCCTGTGCTACTGATGACTTTTCAGTGTCGAAGTCCCGGTGATATGGCTGATGGCTGATGGCCCGCGGGTTGGGCCGCCGCCGTGGTCCGTGGCGGCCGCCGCTTTGCAGCTCCTGTGCCTGACCGGCCCCGCCGCCACATGCGAGTACCGGAAGCCGCACGGCAGCGACCCGCGGACTGGACGCAAATCACAAAAAGTCAAAATGGAGCTATAATTTATTGCCCGTTTGTCTCCGCGGGCGGCGGGCGCCGCGTGCTGCCCCTACCGTGCCTGTGGTGGATACCCATCCATGTTAGACGGGTGGGCGTTCTCAGAAAACGTGCTTACTTTATCGTTAAGGGGCATTTCGTGCGACATTTGGCAACATGACGGTTCTAGGCTCTCAAGACCCCGCTGAATCCGAATCCGGATGTTGCCAAGCCGAATTTTGCCTCCTAAGGTCATAAATCCACCAAAAATAATTAAATGAAAATAATTAAAATCCTACAAAGCAATGCTTTTGCAATATTGCTTCGTAGGGTAGGACTTTAACAGTGTGGAGGCAAACGCGAGGCAAACGTGTGTGAATTTTAAAAGAAAATTCACACCTTTACTCCCTTTAGGTGTACGAAAGGGCATTCACACACCTAAAAGTATGCGACATTC